CGTCTTAAATTCAGGGTTGCTAGATTTGAGTAAATATGGGAATTTGCACATTAAACCTTCAGATTCTCTTTAAAAAAGGTTGGTTTCCAGAAGGGGAACAATGAACCTGTGCCTTTTATGATATGAGAGAGAGCCCAAAAGAGTACATTTCACTTGCAGAGTTTCATGGCTCCCTACTTCAGTTTTACGCTTACAATATACAGAACAAAGTGTGCCATTCCCTACTTGAGTTGACAAACTGTTTGCAAAAAATCTGGGGTAGGACTTTACTCAGCGCTGTTGAAGTGGGTATTAAGTCCTTAACAACGATAGTTTTTCTTCCCAATATCTGACTATAATGTGTTCCAACAAAGCAAATAATAACAATAAAAAAGACATAAGGTTTTGAATATTTTGATTAAAACTAGGTCTTGGCTACTCAGGTTTTAGTCTGCCGTGCTGTTACAATCCTATTAGGTCCCCTGCCCTCCAGCTGAAAAGTGTAGATAAGTCCTCAAAATTAAATGAAAGAAAAAAAAATAGTAAATGAACTTTAAGAAACCTTATTCATTATAAAAAAAGTGAGAGTTTAGCTTTCTTTGCAGGTCATTATGTTGCTTCCAGAGCAGGTCAATTAAGATACCAGACCAATGACTAGAGTGCCTTTGTATGAAGAGGCAAGGCGTGTTATGCCAAAACCAGAAAGCTGCATTAAAGCTGTATCAAAAAAATCTCTCCCATGTAGCAAGTTACCCCTTGGGCAGCTCCCTGTAAATCTTACTCCAACTACATCACTTTAAATAGTCACTTATGCTTCTATATTGACTTATAACAATAGTACTAACCCTCTTTTCAAGACTGGAACAAAAGAGCATGCTTTCAGGTTGCCTGAAGGTCTCCAACACCCTTAGGAAGTTGGCAAATCAGAAAGAAAAACTAGAGGAGATGGATATGCTGTCATGCGAAGGCATTGCACGCAGGGCCTACTAGCTTACAGGTCTGTTGGGTCGCAGCTAAAGAACATTCCTGTTGTTCGTACAGAAAGCAACCAAGGATCTGGGGTGCGGGGATGGGAATGGAAGAAAAGTTTTGGGGGGGGAGGAGGTTCTACCTTCAAACTCTGCTGTTGCGTTCAAAAAAAAAAAACCCCGCGCTATCTGCTTAAGACTCCCCAGCGTCCTTTATAGGTGACAGACCCCAGGCAGAAAGGTTTGCATGTGATTAAGAGCCAACTTAGGTCTCAAACCCAAGATTCAGAGTCAGTTCAAGAGTCTGTAGAAGCCTTTCCCCAAAACAGCACAATTTAACAGTTGACAGAGGGAACCACACATACGCACACACGCACCACCAACGACATAGTGGTGCTTCTTGAGACACTACATTCAACCACAAACAGCCATCAAGGATATTAATACAGTCCCGCAAGTCAAGAGTACATCCCTTGAAAACTGATATGTAATAGGAAGAAAAAACCAAAAAAAACCCAACCCGTGGGCTTGTGCTTTTTTCTGTTGCTTTATTAAATTCGAAGACGACCTAAGAGCTGCATTTATCCTTGCCTTCCTCCCCACTCCCCTCACTGCCTGCTGCAAAAAAGGAGAGGGCTTCTGCTTGGTATTCTTACCTAAGAAAGATCAGTAATAGCAAAATTTGCACCCCCCGCCCCTTTTTTTTTAAAGGACACTTCCTCGAAGGACTGGAGACCAGTAGCTTCTTCTTCCATATGCTGACGTAGATACAGAGCACCTACTATAATTTTACATTGAAGTGGTTGAGCCAGACAATTGCATCAGGACCAGCGGAGTGTATCGCTGTGATCCCTCTCCTCTATATTTATGGACTGAGTCGTTATATGGTCCATGGTCTGTTCTGAGTGACCACAGGCACATCCTGGAGAGTTTTAAATTTTCCATTTGTGCATCAGTAGTTGAATCTCTCTGGACCGTACTCTAAAGCAGTGGTGGCTCATCCTATCCAGCTCTACAGGCCAGACGAGTTGGTTTGCAGGTCTGATTTAACACAGGGTCAGTGTGCACGTGCAATCCGGTGCCCCCGTCCGACCCTGTGTACCGCATCTGGAAGGTGGGGCCCCATCATCCAGCCTGACGGGCTCTCCCCGGGTCCTGAAATTTGGCAGCAGGGAAGTGGTGGCAGCATTGATAGCCAGGGATTTGGGAGCTGCAGCACTTAACACTGGCACCACTCCCAAGCCACCGCAGGTGGGATCCTGCCACTGGTCCCCTGCTGTCAAATATTCAGAGAAGCTGAGTATCACTGATCTAAAGAAAAAAGGCAGGGGTGTCAAACATTGCCTACAGGTCAGATCCAGCTTGCTGAGCAATTTGTAAGTGGGGGGCATAGCTAAAGGGGGCATGGCCTGCTGTGGTCTCCAGGGCCCCTGGGCCTCAGTGGACATGGTCATCAGCGGCAGGAGGATGAGCAAGGGCTGTACGAAAGCCTTGCTCACCCTGTAGCCTCCAGTCCCTCTGCCACTTGCCCTGCTGTTGTGGGTCCCACTGCAGCAACCACCGTCTCCACCATCATCCCTGCCTCAGCCACAAACAGTCCTGCTGGTCCCCATCACCCCACTCCATGCCCCATGTCGCATCCAGTTGTGTGGTCCAGATACAGGCTGAGTTTGACATCCCCGAGATAAGGAATTTGAGCCCTTATCAAAAAGTTGTTTCTTTCCAACTGTTTGTCAGGCAAGTTTACCAGGTGTCAGTAATAACAACCTAAAATCCAGGGGGTTTGAAAAGTCGGCCTAAATGCCCTTTCCTAAGGGCCAGCAATCCCTTTCTCAGTGCCTTCAGTGTGATTATCTGGCATTCTCCTGTTACTGAGCATCTAATTCAGTGGTCTCCAACCTTTTTAAGTACAAAATCATTTATTGAATTAAAGTGCAACCCAGAATCTACCTGTGCACTGCACTTTGCACCCCGCTGCAGCTTCCCTGGGAGCGGCATGACGCCACGTGCATCCCGCTGCAGGGCGGGCTCGTGGTGCGGCGCATCCACGCTGCAGCAGGCATGTGGCATTGCGCCGCTTCTGGGGCAGCTGCAGCAGGCAACAAAGTGCAGCGTGCAGCGGCCACCGCCTCCGTCCTGTGCACAGATTGGGGGGCACGTGCCCCCCGGGCCTCTGCCGGGGTACGCACAGTGGTGGGAGCATCCCCATGCCCCTGGATGAGCTGCCTGGGCTGCAATCATCCCACCACCTGGCCTGACTACTGATCTACTTGGAATAACCAAGTAGGCAAGACCTGCCTAATGGAAAATCTAAGCAGGTATTTGTTACACGTCATGAAGCAACAGAGAGAAGCACAGGTCCTCCTGTTTTAGCCTGCTGCTCATCGCCTTCAACCAAGAGCACCATTTTAGTGTGGAGACCCATATATAGCATTGTTGTTAAGCTAGGGTCCAACGTGAGTCAGAAAACCAGATGGGTGTCTAAACACTTGGAGAGAAAATGAAGAATACCCAGTGCCATCATAACAAACAACCATGCAACACTTCATGCAAACCACCAGTGAGCACAGATGAGAACTAGGTAACACTTTGTGAGAACAGAGACCAGGTAGGGGTGGTACAGCTGCAGACACACCTCGGTGACACAGAAAGACTGCTTACCCTCGGGTTTAGTGGTAGTACCATCTTTAGGCAAATTTAAAAAAAAATAAGGAAAGGGTTAACAGGGAAGAGTTAGTGATACCAACAGTGCAGAAGACAAATCATCACCTGCTAGCAACAGGCAAAGGAATTTGCTTCGTAGCCAACCCAGTCTATGTGTCATTTAAAAAGGAAGCCATACAGGAAAAGAGCAGAGGGTGTGCTCTGCTTTAGAAGTAAGGCTAAATACTGCACTGCCTCCCTCACGTATCCAAGCTTCAGAAACTCAGGCAAGGCAAACCAGCATGCAGTGAATTCAGGTGTTCTCTCTGAAGGTCTCGCTGCACTGAGTCTAAACCTGACATCTAATATGAAGAATCATTAAGCCACAGCAAAAGCTTTGCAACTACACTACTGAACCAGATGCAGCCAGGAAGTTTAAGTCAAGGCAAAGGTTTTGGCAAGAAATGAAAAGGAAGGCTGTCTATGAAATATGTCCTAATATAAATCAGGCACGAGTGTCCGTTCCGCTGGACGGAACGGCTGAGATGAAGCCCGATTTCCAATCGATTCAGCTAAGGTTCAACCATCTACATAACTTAAGGCAAGGGCACCCGTTTTCATACCTATTAGGCACCTGAGTCTCTTCTCACTTAACCTGGTGGAATCAAGGAAGTCAACAGAGTTACATCAGTTCAAGGCTGGTGAAGTCAAACCCTAGCTCCGGTGACTAGCTCTGCATGGGTTGGTCAAATGCAAGCTATGGAAGCAGACTTGTGAAACGAAGCAAGTAATGTAGCACCCGGTTTAGATGCTTCTGACCTGCGTGTCCTCATTCAGAGAGCCTACAGCGCTGCCCAGACCGCAAGTTCCCCAGCAAACAAATTTTGCTCCATGCACTGGGAACATGTGGGCAACGAAAACTGACCAAGAGGGCTTAGAGAAACAGCACGAGACAATTTAAGCTCAAAGAAAAGCCTGTGTGGGAGAACGCAGGTAGTCAATGGCAGTCAGGCCCTCCTCTTTGCCTCTCCATTCCTTACTTTCTCAAAAAGAAAGGTATCCAACTAAGACCCTTTTGGTCCTACCTAAAGCATGGAACAACTCAGAAAACCCCTGAGGAGAAGTTAAATGGAGGTGGGTCCTGCAGCCACTTTCCCCCTTCACTGCCACAGAAGCAAAGCAGCATCTCTTCTTCGCAAAGGAAAAGTGCTATAGAAAAAGAAGTAGAGGACCTATTTCCTGCAAGGCCTGCTTTTTTGGGGAGTGCAGTTAAGTTTCCTTAACCCTAATGGGAGAGGACAGCTGATGGTCCCCTCATTGAAGACCTGCTTTACCTATCACACTGCTTAACCCTGAAGAAAACATACAGGACTAGTCCCAGACTTCAGAAAGGAGAACGTGTAGATTTACCTAGCGATGCATATGAGCCAGGTGGCAAGGCCGCAGCAGAGCTGAAGGGGGTGGAGGCTCCAGAAGACGTTGCTTTGGACTTGGCACTGGCCGCCGCGTTCACATCAATGTCACTGCGAGATCGCTGCAGAGATCCTGGTGTCGACACGGATTTTGTGCTTACTGTAGAGGCTGCAGGCAGAGACACAAAGCACAGAGCCATGAGGATGGATTCCTTTGACGGTCTGCTTGGAAACATCCTCTCAGCCTAGCTCCCTAAGACAGTCCAGGTGTTCCTGACTGTGACCATGACTGTAGGGCTGGCAGACAGCAAACAAAAAGGCCACAAGTAACTCTGCTCTCCCAGGGGTGGCATGGGTAGCCCTTTGCTGCCTTATATGCATCTCAGCCTTGACCTGCAGAGACCACTTATGGGGCAGTTCAGCCTCTACAGTGGATCCAAGCCTGCTGAGATACGCGACAAGGGCTGCCAATCAGCAATGGGTCTGAAGGTGGTTTCATGCAGTAAACACTCACCAGAACTCAAATGGCAAAACTTGACCTAGTTCATATGTAGAACTAGTCCCGAGCTAGTGAAAACACGGGACAACTCCTGAGCTCTGCTGTCTGAAGCAGACACCTATTTGCTGGAAAGTCTTTCTGGGGGATGGGGGAATCAAAGAGGCACCACATTACTTGGCTTTGTTATTACATGGCTCTGAATGACCCACTGCACAGTCATTAAATGACTGCACATCTCATACTGGTCTACCAGGGTGACTTCCCAGATGCCATTCTGCTGGTCCAGAGGCTACTGAACAGCTAAAATGTGTGCAACGCCCTGTTGGCATTCTTGCTAATTGGCCTAGGTTTTTGCCTCTACCTTAAATTTCATATTTCAAACTTTTCCCCATTTTTTATTGCATCGTATGAGTGACTTATTCGTTCAATAAATAAATATGGGATACTTTGTCTATGCTGGGGTACATAGAGGAGATTACATAAAAACATGGAGCCCTGTATACTAGAAACCAAGCAATGAATCACAAATTGTTCTGATCTGCTAGGTCTCCTTGTCTATGCAGTTGTCAGTGTGGTTAAAGCTGCCTGTTTCTAACTGTGAGGTGGTAAAGACATCTCTTGGCTGCACAGCATTGCTTTATTAGGAGGATGTACTTTGGTGATCAGCCTGGAATTTAATACCATCAAAGATCATAGAAATCATAGAAAATAGGGGTTGGAAGGGACCTCAGGAGGTCATCTAGTCCAACCCCCTGCTCAAAGCAGGACCAGCCCCAACTAGATCAGAGGATGGGCACAGAGGATGGTCTCCATCATATGCAGAAACACAGAACTGAAAGAGATACATCTGGCTAGACTAATGGTCCATCTAGTCACGGTCCCAGCTTATGACAGGTATTACTTGGTTGTACAATACTATACCCTGGCTAGAATTCCCAGTAAATCATTCTAACCTTGCCCTTAAAATGGAATCAAATGAAATGTATTTCAAGTGACTTCAAGTAAAATGTGTCATAGCTTTCAAATGCATCAGGATTTGAGTCATTTATGGGCCAGATATGTTGCATTGATGACTGGTACCAATTTATTTAGTGTGAAAGTCTTCTAACATAAAGCTCTATTTTTCCAAAGGATGACTTCACAGTAAAAGGAGGTTTCATTATAATCAGAATCACTAACTGTATGTTGGAATAGTCAAAACTTTTGCTGTACTTCATTACAAAGGTCCTGCCATGATTGGCTGTATTTCCTTGAGATCCTGCTCTCACCTCTAGATGTAGTGCTCCCAGTAGGACTTCTTTTGGCAGATAACGGACGGCTAGAAATTAAAAAAAAATTAATAAATTTAGTGAAGTAAAATGGATATTTGAGTCACTCATAACAGAGACTATAAAAGTGCTGTCATATTTTAGTGCAGAGAGGCAAGGATTTTATGCATACTGGACTGAGAGTTGGGACTGTTGTTCGACAAGGTCTCCATAATATTTTCAGACACTCTTCTGCATTTGCAGCCAGTTACCTAAAATAATCCAGTGTATTTATAAGAATAAACTAGGACATGCCTCACATCGCTCTAACACTTTTAAGGTGGAACAAACTTTTTGAGTCTCAGGTCTTTGAACTGTGTCCCTTTAAAAACAGCCAAAATCTAACCATGTAACAGGAAAGCTATTTATTTTGCAGCTGTATAAGTTCAATCTTCCTTGGCTGCTTCTGCTCTTGCAAGGGAAAGAAGACAGACGCACACAAATGCTTGTTCACTCCCCCACCCTAAGGATAAGCATGAGAAATTTTCAGGCTGAGTGTCTTTTAAAATGACAGTTACTGTCTGGCTGAGAATGAAAAGCCTCCTCTCCACTTCCTAATGGAGCCAAAACTACCATGTTTATTCAAATATAAGATGACACTGAATGTAAGACAACTCATCAATAATTTGATTCTATATATGGAAAATGTGCATAAATTTGTTATAATTTTCTAAGTATAGAATATAATTATTTGCCTTGAATTTGTCCCCCTCCCACTGC